CTCTCTTTCTCTCTCTCTCTCTCTCACACACACACACACACACACACACACACACACACACACACACACACACGCACGCACGCACGCACACATGGATGATGTCTTAAACAGTGGAACTAAAGAAGTCTTGAGACTATTTAACCATGCTCTGCCACTGACAACTTTCTGGCTTTGATGATACTTCTACAGTTACATACTGCATGATACTTGGGGAGGTTCCAGGAAGGAACCACAGACTGTCTGTGCTATTTTTGTAGTTTCCAGTTAGTCTATAATTATTTCAAAATGTTTGTTTTCAAAGACCTCAATTCTGGGGCTTCATCTTTGCTTGAATATCTAAAGAGCAGTTCTTGAGGAGAGGGTGAAATTGGCATCCTGACAAGGAGAGAGAAAACCTGTGAAAGGCAGGGGAAACCCCTGGGACCTCGGCTGGAGCCCCTAGTTCTAGCCCTGCCTGGAGCCCACATGCTGTGAGATCTCTAGTTCCATGAATCATCCGAATCGAGTTTCTCCCACTTCTAACTTCAAGCCCTAGTCCTATCTTGTAAGCAAGAGGACTAAGGGCCAGAGAAGATGGCTGCATGAGGCCATAGGACAAAGATACTCCATCCCTTTCCTATACCTCCCTGAGAGCAGGAGGAAAGGGGGTGGGGTCACTTACCTGAGGGCAACATAGAGAACCATGGTAAAGGCCAGGAAGATCATGGAGACTCCACAGCCTGCTTGGGAGATGCGAGTGAGAGTCTGTGCTGTGGCCTGGTCCAAGATCGGCCTCTGTAGATGACCCCAAGTCCAGATCACACCACTGAGATGCCAGGCCTGCAAATCTCCCAAACCCCAGCCAGCCAGGAAGCCTCTCGGGGACAAAGGCTGCACCTCAGGGGGTCAGAATGGCATGGGCTGTTACCAGCAGTAAGGCGAAGAAGGTCAAGTGGTCACAACGGCAGATGGTCCTCTCATCCCCGAGCTCTGTGGAGCAGCCTTGGGAATCCCAGTCTCCTGTGAGCCACACGAAGGTAAGGGCAGAGAAGACCGGAGGAGACAAGGGAAGGGAGGGCCCACTCTACCCTCACCTTCAGTCCCATGGAAGCCTGCGGCTTGCTCTTTTCTTATTCTAGAAAGTCTTCCAGACCTACCTTTAACCACATCCCAGAACACACAAGTAAGGATCATATTCTGAAACCAGAGAGTACAAGTCAGGAGAGGAAGAAAGGGGAAGACGGGGAGGAGACAGGGCACTCCCAGGAGACACGTGCCTTAGGAGGAAGGCCTCTGTAGGCTACATGGGGAGACTGACTGCATCCCTGAGAGTTGATGCTCCCTGGCCATTGCTGTGCATGTGGGAGACACAGCAAATACAGCACAAGAGGGTTTGCCTGTCTGTGCACGAATGCCTTCAGGACCATTGCCTGGCGGGTGTGGAAAGCATGTTCACAGATGGGTTCTCCAGGTCCTCACACATTTATGAACATGAAGGTGAAAGGGTGTGGCAGGGGTGTGTTCACAAGTGCAGGGCAGACAGATGTCTTTGGGCATAACTGCATCACCCATCTGATGGTTTCTTCTGGGTAAAGGGCACAAGGTTCCATGCATGGCTTCTCAGAGCTCATGCACTGTGTGCCCCACAATAACTGCCAAGCCCGGGCAGAAGACTCACAGATGGTTGACGCTGGTGAGAGAAGGTGATCTCCACCAGCTCCGACAGTCCAGTGGTATGCATCTGGCCCACACTCAAGCCTACCATGCGGTTGTTCAACACGCTGCTGCCATTGTCCTGGAGGAGCTTGGGGCCCTAGGAGGGAGTGGCAGGAGGCTAGGCTATAGGATGGGCTGACCTTACCTGTCCTAGCTAGGGGTCTAGGGAACTCTAGGAAATCCCCTCGTTTGCAGTCAAAATCTGAGACTAGGGGCCCAGGATCCAGGGACCCAGGGGCATAAGCAGCACTCTCTTCTTGCTGCTCCCTATAACATGCTTGGGCTGGGCTAGGCTGGCTGTGCTCTAGGCTCCATTATCACCTTGCTGAAAGCCAACCCCTGACATCTCTGAACCAGAAGAGCTTGAGGCTAAGCTCTGTGCAACTGTGCTATGCTTTTACATATGGGGATCTCCAGTGTGGGGACGGGGGTGTCCGGGAAAGAATCGAGGGAGAAGCAGTACAAAGTCAGCCAGGAAATGGGGTAAACGCAGTGGATGCCTCCAGGTGGAGGGATGAATGCAAGAGTGCATATATCTAAGCTTATGTGGGTGGATGCATGCCTCAGGTCTGGCATGCATTGTCACGGGAGAGCATGTTTGCCCATGTAGACACAGTCATACCTGAGCACAACTGACCATGTTCTCGGGAATACAGAAGGGCATGTGTGTTTATGCATGTTCGAGGACACACACACATGCATGAGCACCCTGACCTTTATACACGGCCAAGAGGTACTGTGGATATCAGAATAGTCTTCAGTCCAGACTGTAGAACTGGCTCTTGGATAACCCGGCTGCCTTAGAGACCATCTCAGGGACCCTGGTCCACTGAGTATTTAACTGGAGCTTCCTGAGCTCCCAGCAAGCCTCTTACCTTGAAGACATTCCCTGTACCAATGTTCAGAACAGTTATGGCCAACCGGACAGCAGACCTGTTGCCGGGCAGGAGGGCTCCAAATAGGCTCTTGGGAAGTCGGACTCTGTCTGTGGGCTGGTCCTCACCCTGCATCACCTGCCTTGGGATCTGCAACCATGGACCCAGAAGCCCCCATCTTACCCAGAGGATTCCAGCCCCAACTCCGGTGTTTCTACTATTCCAGTTGGAAAAGAAACTGCAGCATGCCAGGTGAAGGGGCAGCATCTGAGGACTTTTAGTTCTGGGGTGAGGGGCAGAACACCTGGCTCAGTCTAGGCTCTGCTCTTCATGGGCTGGGCCCTTGGACAGGCATCAACAATGGGGCCCAGTTTCCCAGTTACAGGGACCAGCTGAGCGTGACTGTGTTGGTGCAACTGTGCTCTGCTTTTTCATATGGGGATCGCCAGTGTGGGGACGGGGGTGTCCTGGAAAGAAGCGAGGGGGGAGCAGTGCAAAGACAAGGGACTCCTGTTCATCTTGAGTGTGAAGTCCTTCCTGCCCAACAGTAAAGTGTTCTAGAGACCGAGAATAGTTAGAATGTTAGAACAAGCCTCCCCAGAGCTTACCAGGCATGCTTTGTCTAGTCTCTGACCTCCTGGGTACCCTGGGGCTTCAGCCTGCACCCACTAGTTCCCTGCTTCAGAAGGATCCATGCTCATGGGGCTGAAGCCCCAGTGTCACCTTCCTAGTCCAGATCTTGTCAACAGGGCATGTGGGTGATGTCTTGGGCCAGTGCTTATTCTACCCAGAGGGCAAAGCATCATAAAAGGTTGAAGAAGTTGGGTGAGGAGCAACTCAGATAGATGCCTGAACCTCTGCCCTCAGCTTCATCCCTGCATGAAGGCTGGGGATTTGCTGAGACCTTTCTGGACCAAGCATTTCCTTGGATAGTAACTCAGATGCTCTTTCCAATATGTTTTTGTTTTGTTTTTGATACAGGGGCTATCTGTATAGCCTGTGCTGGCCTGGAGCTCAGGAGCACTCCTCCTGCCTCTGCCTCCTGAGCTCTGGGAGAATGAGCATGCATCATCCTGCCTGGCTTCTGATACTCTTGAAAGTGGGCAATATTCTCATCATTTACAGATGAGAAAACCGAGGGTCAGAAAAGCAATGTGCCCATGATGGCAATGGCTGGTAAGGGCAGAGGTGGAGTTTGAATCTGGGCCAGTGTAAATCTAGAGCCCTCCTCAACTCTCTGAGGCCAAGTATGCCCTCACTCTGACTCCAGATGTGTGCTCTGGCAGAGAGGTTAATGGGCACTTTAGGCTGGGAGATGCCAGAGATTCATCTTCCAGATGAGCACCCAAGGCCTCTGGGATTAAGGAAACTTCCTGAGGACATCAAGAGCAGTGGGAGGAGGGGATCTCCCAGAACCCTGGCTAATCCACCAGGTTCCTCTCATGCAGTTACTTCACTGACCCTGTTAATGAGTGGCAGAGCTATGCTGAATGTGACTCAGAAGGGATAAGCTTTGATGGGCACCAGCAGAGGCCTGAACCACCATCAGAATGCTCGTCACCTGGGAGGGTGTCAGAGAAAACTGAAGGTCTTCTGAGATGTCTGTGCTGATGTTCTGGATCAAGGCTTTAACAAAAGGCATGTCCACAGTCTCCATGGAATTCTCCAGCAGATAGGACTCATAGTTCAGCCAGTATCTGCAAGAGGCAAGGGATCAGGAGAAGAGGAGCTTGTAGGCTGAGCCACCCACTCGTTAGGCTCTTGGGGTGAGGGCTCACCCAGAATACCAGAGACCCTGGACTCACAATGTGAGGAAGAGGAATGGCTTGAGAACTGAACCTGAAGGAGCCCAGCTAAAGACCCCTCTGGATATCTTAATGTTTGTCTTTCAAAATGCCTATTTATTTTGTGTGTATGAGTGTGTTGCCTGTGCATATGCATGCCTGTGTCCTTGGAATTCAGAAAAGGGCATCTGATTTCCTGTCACTGGCTTTAGGAATGGTTGTGAGCCACTATGTGAGCGCCAGGAAACAAACCCAGGTCCTTGCAAGACCAACAAGTGTGGTCATAATTGCTGAGGCAACTCTCTAGCCCATGCTTATGTTTTACAATAGCATAATATGAGATATAACCCATGTATTAACCATTTTAGCATGGAGTATTCAGTGGCATTGAGCACACTCACAGTGCTCTGAAACCATCACAGCCATTTACTTCAGAACAGCCCCATCACCAGGGAAGGGAACTACATGCTCACCAAGCAGCTACCTTTCCCCTTCCAGCCCCTGGAAACCATTCATCTGATTTGCTTTTTGCCTCTGTAAACTTCCTCCCCCCTCTTCTTGAGACAAGGTCTCATATAGCCTAGGCTGGGCTTGAACTCACTATGCAGCCAAGGATAACCTGAACCCCTGACCCTCCAGCCTCTTCCTCCTCTGGAGTGCTTGGATTACAGGTTTTGCTAACCACACCCATTTTACAGTGTTAAACTTTGTGCTTGCTAAGTAAGCATTTGCCTGTTTTGAATTAGAACACTGAAGCACACACTATGAGGCCCTCTGAGTCTGGCTTCTTACACTTAGCACATAGTTTTCCATGCATCATTGCCAGAGCATGAAATGGGATTTCAGTCCTTCTGGATGCAACACACCCATCTACTGATCATCTGTCTGCTGATGGGCATACAAAAGCACTCCTCCACTGATGGGAACATACGGATCTTCGGATAACGCCATTGATGGGCATGTGGATCTTTGCATCCATCCTCTGATGAACGTACAGCCCTGTGCACCCACCCACTGATGGACATTTGAATATTTCCCACTGTGCTGGACAGTTTTTGTCAACTTGGCACAAATTAGAGTCACTTGGGAAGAGGGGCTGTGAGCTTGAGTCCATCATACTGTCCTGTGGGCATGTCTGTGGGGCACTTTCTTGATTAATGATTGATGTGTGCCCAGTCCACTATGGGTGACACCACCCTGGATGGATGGATTGTATAAGAGAGCAAGCTGAATGAGTCAGGGGGAATGAGCCAGTAAGGAGACTCCTTCCAAATTATCTGCTTCAGTTCCTGCCTCTAGGTTCTTGTTTGAGTTCCCACCTCTGACTTCCCTCAGTAATGTGGACACGGAAGCCAAATAAATCCTTTCTTCCCATAAGTTGCCTTGAGCTGTGGTGTTTATCACAGCAACAGAAACAAACTAGAATAACCTACTGCGAATAAGGCTGCTGTGAAAATTCATGTATGAGTGCTCGTGGAAGACTTGCTTTAAATTCTTTGGGCACAGACAAAGGCGTAGAATTGTTGGGTCATATGGTAACTCTCCATTTAGCTTCCTGAACAGCTACCAGGTGATTTTCCACAGCAGCTGCACCATTTCAATTCATACCTGCAGTGTGTAAGAGTTTCAGTATTTCCATAGCCTTGCCAATGCAATGGTTTGGTTTTGTATTGTTTTCAACTGTAGCCATACTTACGGGTATAAAGAGGTGTCTCATGGTAGCTTTGATTTGTATCATTTGTATTTGAATGACCCAGTGAGGCTGAACATCTTCTCATATGATTTTGGCTTTGCATATCTTATCTGAATAAATCTCTTTGGGCACATTTACTGAGTGCTAATTGCATACTAAAAATTTAGCATTTGAAAACTGAGCCACAGACCAGCAAGATTCCTCAGTAGACAAGGGCACATACTGAGTAAGCCTGATGACCTGAGTTTGATTCCTGGAGTCCACATAAAGGTAGACAGGGAGTACTGACTAGATAGAGTTGTCCTCTGACCTCTACAAGTGTGCAGAGACATGTGTGCCCCTACCCACATCATAAACACAACAATAAATACATTTTGGGGTTTTTAAAAGACAAGTCTCATTATGTAGCCTTGGCTGGACTGGAACTCACTATGTACACCAGGCTTGCCTTAAATTCATAGATCCACTTGCCTCTGCCTCTCAAGTGCTGAGATTAAAGTCATGTGCCATGATACCTGGCTTAAATAAGTGTGTGTGTGTGTGTGTGTGTGTGTGTGTGTGTGTGTGTAAGAAAGAAAACTAAGGCGGGTGGTGGTGGTGTACCCCTTTAATCCCTGCACTTGGGAGGCAGAGGGAAGCAGATGTCTAAGTTCAAGGCCAGCCTAGTCTACAGAGCAAATTCCAGGACAGCTAGGACTACACAGAGAAATCATGTCTTGAAAATAAATAAATTTTTAAAAGAGAAAGAATGAATGAAAGAAAGAAAGAAAGAAAGAAAGAAAGAAAGAAAGAAAGAAAGAAAGAAAGAAAGAGGACTGGGGAGATGACTCAGTGGTTAAGAGCACTGGCTGCTCTTCCAGAGGACCTGGGTTCAATTCTCAGCTCACACGTGGCAGCTCATTACTGTCTGCGATTCCAGTTCCAGGAGACTGGATACCCTCACACAGACATACATGCAGGTAAAATGCCAATCTAAATAAAAATAAATAAATAAATAAATAATATATAAAATTTTGAGGGAGAGGGAGAGGGAGAGGGAGAGGAACTGAGCCACATGGGAACTGACTGCCTGGAAGCAGAAGGGAGGAGACAACACAAAGGGAAAGAGGGCGGGTGTCACTCTCCGTGGTGCTGAAATTTAGAACCGTCCCTGTGCTTGGGTCTCTTTCCCTAGCCCAGGGCCCTAACTGCTGCCTTTCTAACACTGTGATCACAGCTATGTATGCCTCACTGCTTGCTTTAAATCTTCTAAAATTACCTTTATTTATTTATTTTTTTATTGTGGGTTAACGCCGCATGCCACAGTTTGCATCTGGAGGTCAGAGGACTACTTGCAGGGATTGGTTCTCTCATTCTACTATGTGAGTCCTAGGAAGTCAAGTTGTCAAGCTTGTGTCAAAAGCCTTTACCTGCTATGACATTTCTGCACTTCCCCAACCCAGGTTTTAAAAAGTTGTCCTGGAGATCAGACTTAGGTCCTCATGCTTGTGCACCACACACTGCTGACTGAGCCATTTCCCCGGGCCTCTATTCACTGTTCACCTTTCCAAGAAACCCTGAACAGGTGATGTAATGATAGGAGGCAAGAGGGCTAGAGGAAGATACACCCAGACTGAGGCCATGAGAAAATGGAAATTCTCTCTCTCCTCTCTCTCTATTCCCCTCTCTCCCTC